TTGGATAGAGAAAACAATGACAAAAACAATACATTGCCATCGGGAAAACAGATTGTTTTACAATGGTATGGGGCTGCGCGGAAATTTTACCCAGTGGTTTGTCAATTTTTGTTTAGGAAATTATGCAGAACGGATTGGAGCAGGAGCGCCGGTTTATCTTGCAGCCGTTTTGGAATATCTTACTGCAGAAGTGTTGGAACTTGCGGGTAATGCCGCCCGCGACAACAAGAAATCCCGTATCATCCCACGCCATTTGCTGCTCGCGGTACGAAACGATGAAGAACTAAACCAACTTTTGAGCAACGTGACCTTCGCTGATAGTGGAGTGCTGCCTAATATCCAGGCTGTGCTGCTTCCTAAGAAAACTGCGTCCAAGTCTGGCGGCTCAAAATCGAGTAACTCCAGTCAAAGTCAGGAGTATTAGACGGAGTGACAGTGTACAATGAAAATGCGAATATGTAACTGTTGGAGACTTCCTTTGTATTTATAGTTTCTATGATTTATTAGTTTGCATAAAATTAACGAAGAATTACAAAAGTTAATATATCTAAAAGTGATTAAAGCATTGAATAATTCAGATATTTGTCTTTTTGTATTTATGATTTTCCTGCTGGACTTTTGCTTCACTTGAGCAATGCCAGTTCATTGGAGTAAACAAAAAACTTGAATGGTTTGTTTCCTACGATAATTTTTTTTCCTAGTTTTGCAATATTTTTCTTTGGCTCCTCGCAGCTCTCTTAAATGTGTAATAAAGATCAAGGCTTCATGCCCCATCCTGGAATGATGATAATGATGGTATTTCTCAAACTCGTTAATTACTCCTAGCAAGGGTAATCATCCAACTGGTCAAAGAGAGGTTGATTTCGCCACGTGCATGTGGTTTCAGTGAAACACTGGAATGAGGGGTTACCCATGACTTTCATGCAATACCAAACCCTTTGAGTTTAATGAAGCATCAAACTCGAATGAACTAGTTTCTTAATTTGATTATTAATAACACGCATTTGAATAAGATGTGAAAATGTCGCGAATATTTCCGTTTTTCTTTGTATGTGAGGCGCGCGGTGAAATCGATCGAAAATAATAAACGCACTCGACCTTCGGCTTCATGCTTTCATCTATCCTCCCGTGTCTGGAAATCCTGATGAGCCACTCGCACGCGTTTTTGAAATGGGTCAGGGGCTCTTGATTTCAGACCATTTTATATCATAGCAACTGCTTCTACTTTCTCTACATTCTGCTCTCCACCCTAATCCCGTCATCTTCCTAAAAATGGACACCTTTGTGTTCATTTGAAGAAAATATGTTATCGTTCGTGTGTAGCCGGCAAATGTTTTGATTTGCATAAAAGAGATCATTTCTATCGCTAAAGTTTAAGAGCAAAATTCTCTGAGACTGTCAATCTCGAATAAAAACTGATCTGACCAGGAGGGTCTCAATAGGAAAATGGCTCTTACAGCCAACGGCAGGAGCCCATAATGGCTCCTGCTAACGGTTTGTTTGAAAAGTTTTGGTCACTAAACGGCTAGAGGTAGGAGAATACGACAATTTCTCACAAACTTTCTTTTGTCGTGATTAAAAGATAAAAAAATTTACCGTTGTTTCACGACCTCCGGATAAAATAAAATTATTTCAAAAAAACATGATTTGGAAAAGGAATAAAGTGTGCCTTAGGGTCGGGGTGGCAAGGTTAATTTTGTGTTGTGTAATGCATGTGCTTTATTTGTTTTTGTCTGTTTGTTTTGTTCTAAAAAGCGTTCAAAATTAAAACGAATTTCTGTCTCTTAAATAACCCTTTAAATTGTGTTTTGTTTTGTAACTGATCAATGTACTAGCATATGCAATTTTTACCCCATCCTCCCCTCCCCCTCGCTCACTTAGTTAGCATATTCCCGCCAAATTCTAGAACCCAGTTTTCACATTGTTATCTCTCGTTCAAAAGGCCGCGGTCAAAACAATACACGCCTTCACCCGACCTCTTAAACGTCGCCGTTGATCAGTGTTTTGGGTTTGCAGAGCTAGAGACTGAACAGCAAGGAAAGATTAGGTTAGTACACCGCTACAATCTGCAATGCACTTAATTTTACGATATTTAAGGTGTTAGAAAATTGTCTACTTGAGGGCTAGAGGGAGAGGCTTGTTTGCACATTTACACTCGCTATAGTGAAATTGAAATCATTCGCTTGGTGTGCATTTATCCACTTTCAATAAAATCATGAAGCAGATGGCAACTTTGAGTGCCAGCGTGAAAGTATTTCTTGACCACTTTGATGATTATGTGTGAACCATCGCACTCACCCCACATTAAATTAAATAAGGCGAGCTTCAAAGTAAATATACGAGGGAGCGGATTTGGAAGCTCCCCGCTTAGATCTGATGATGTTCTCGTGCACGCATCGATTTTTCGTTCGTCAGATCTCTTTGCAAATCATTTCCTTGCCGCCGATTGCACAGTGATATTGAATGTTGTTTAGGCAAGATAGAACCACACTATGATAACCAGTGGAAGTGGGAAAAATACCACCGTAGGAAAAGTTGATTTGCATGACCTTCTAAGCGTCGAGTAGCTAACATAGCGTGACTCATCGATTTAACACCTTGGAATTTCAATTTGCAACCGCGTTCGCTGTAGACCACATGATAGTTCTATAACTGAACATGAGATTGGACTCATTGATTTAAGTCGAGTCACATTGTATCACAAGTGAAGAGCGAGAGCCCTAGTTAATTTCGACCGAGCCGGATTTTTGTCGAGTCACGACTGTTATGTTTAGTTTTTCTTCCTGTTTTTTTCTTTTTTTTTTTTTCTTTTGGTTTGATTTTTATTTACTAGATGCACCAGTGATACAACAACGCGTAGGTAGAAGCTTGAAACTATTTTCGTGGCCGTTTATAACTCTGCAATGGTTCACAGCTGCTTTCAAAGAAGTAAACATTTCCAGGCCTATACGAGTTTCATTCACAGATTCCCACCTCTTTTACTTACACACACCTTACGCAGAAGTCCCATTTGCACTCAACCGCCATCTTGTCGCATATATATATATGTATATGTCATTTAAAGGCATGATATGCAGGTTTCCCTTCTTCAAAATTCTCAAAACGACGTTATATAAGGTGTGGAATACACAAAACAGTCATGTTAATTACGCTGTGACTGAATTCTCTTATTTACTAAGGGTGTTTTCGCACCTTATGATAATAGCTCCTCCTAAGGGAAAAATCTAAATTTAGCCTGCAATCACGGCTGTGCTACAGGGAGTACAATGTAAAAATACATCTTTTTGTTTTAGGTTGTCTTCCAGCCACACCTGTGTTAGCTCTTTTTAGTTCATGCAGTCTTTTAGGGTATCTTTTTAGATATAACTGACTTTGACTTCATGAGAATTTAAATCATGTCATCATCTTCTCCTCATGTACGACTTCATAATTCTTTTTTAAGTGATTGCCTATGTCTTAAATATTTATTTCTATGGGTTTTGGTGTTTCTTTTTTGTCGTTTGACATTTCCACTCATATTGACCTCTATATTGACAGTGCTGATGTTATAGTGAATGTGCGGACTGAGCTGAATGTAGCAATGGACAAAGGGACAAAAAAGGATGTTCTTGTTATAGCAGTGACTGCACATGATCCCAATCAGGATGATGACCTTAATGCACAAGAGGCAGTGGACACTGCTCCTGATGTCTCAGTACAGCTGTCAGTCAAGCGAAAGGAGAAATTTGAAGTTCTTGGAAGGAATGTGGGTTGGTGGTTGTATGTACGACGTGTTGACAATGAAGAAAAAGGTTACATTCCAAGCACTTGTGTTGTGCCTCTGAAGGATGATTTAACCCATGAAGAGTAGGTTGAATTAATATTTACAGTCACTTTCTAGCTGAACTCTCAAGTCTCATGCACTTAGCATGATTGAACAAATTCAGTCTTACACTCTCACGCTGAAATTATCTTTTGTTTGTGAATGAAAGATTTCTGCTTGAAACTGTCGATTTGAAATAGCAAACTGCTGCTTTAGTTAAATACCTACAATATGAATTATTTTTCAAGATCTAATTTACTCCTTGTTCCCTTGTACAAGCCTCAAACACTTCTCAACAGTGGAAATTCTGCATGTGTAAAGCCACCTGTTGCACCAATCAATGGTTTTATTGACTATTGTATATATGTGCTCACATGTTCACCATAGATCATTAAAATGGACTCTCCAAACACATTCAGAATAAATGAATGCATGTCTTATTTACAGTATACCCCCATACCCTCCCTCTGAATAGGTAATGCTCTGCAATGGATTACACAGTAAAACCTTTTTCACACAGCTGCAAGGCAATAAAGAATGGAATTAGGTTCTGATGTTGTGGGACACCCTAGTTTTCTCATGTAGAAGGACTGTTCTCTTATAGGGACATTTCAAATATTGCTCTTAATTTTTATGGGAAAAGGTAAAATATTTATGAGGCATTCAAGGTAGTAGAATTCTCTGACCTTTGCCCAAATTCTCTGAATAAATTTATGATGGCATGCCTATTTTTTTCTTTAGACTAGGAGAATATTCTTCAGTTTCTTTACACTGTTAAATTTTTGCATTTATTTAACTAAAAACTTGAAATATATAGTGTAAAGGTCACAATTTTAAGGACTTACAACTGTATACTGAAGTTGAGGTGTAAGGCAGTCAGAGATGGTAGACATATCTAGCCATTTGTGAAATTAAGACTAAAAATATAGATTCTTTTTTAATCAACATCTTCCTTGGCATTGCTTTCCAGATGCTTGAGGTCTCTATTGATCAGAACAACCACAATGTTTTCTTTATGATAACTACATCATAGCTGAGAATGTTATACATGTTTTAGGGAAGAAGAGCTCAGCCACAATGTTGAACTAACTGCAGACTTGATCAATCCAGAGGTTGATTTGAAGTTTTTTCCAGCTGCTCCTGTTGACAAAGATGTTACAAACAGGGTAGGTATTTCTATCTTAAATACAGCTGAAGATGAACCATAATCATTAATTCATGATCTTCTTTCTAAAAGTGTGCAAAATAGTTGAGTTCGAGGTATACTTTTAGGAGAATGCATACTATTCATGTTGTTTTTCAGTCCTGTTGGTTTTATATTATCCAGTGGGTATCAATCCAAAACCAGATTATTTCAGCTTTTTGATGCTATCTAGAACGGACTGACACTCATGGCCTCAATAGGCCATTTTACAGTTGTGTACTAAGTTGCCAAGCATTTGATTTGGAGTGAGGCTGAGTGACCTTGATGTGATAGAGACCAGTATCCAGATAGCAAAGTAATTTACATTTGAAAAGCAGCAAGGTTTGTACCATAGCATAGGTCAACCTTAGCCTCACTCCTATTCAAAGGCTTTGCAACCAAGCACACAACTGTAAAATGGACTATTTCATACTCTAGATAAGTGAAGTACTGCAAGTTGACTCACTTCATTCTGGATGCCATGGGAGGATTTGTCAATAAATTGCTACCATTAAATCAAATGAAATGAGTAACTACAAATCAGGACAGTGAGCCAAATCATCATCTTTTGATATGCATGGGGTTAATTATACACAAGTGTTTGTTGGGCTGAAACTAAAATACCCATTCCTTAATTAGCTGGATCAAATGCACCCTACTAATACTTGATTACCACCAGTACTATAATATGATAATTTTTTTTTCTCTCCTCTTAGGGTGTTTGTCCAGAGAAAAATGCAAACATATTTTCAAAACTTACATTTTGGTGGCTCAATGGGTGAGTCCTACATAATATTATGAAAGTGATGATCTGATTGTTCGGATTATTTGCATTGGATATGTTGATCAGAGGGTAGAGTTTATAACATTCTTGCTAATGGCCTTAATGAGGCAGTATAATTACATATTTTTGCCACTACCCAAGTACTGTAAAATGGTTCAAACTATGAGAAATTTTGAATTAGATGTGTTGAAATAATTTTGACCTGAAGGTCATTTTTAGCTATATGGATGGTAAGATGTGTAATCTGCAGCATGTGGGATGAAATTTGCTCTATTCAAATCATTTGGAAGGAATTATGTCATATTTTTGCTTTAATTTATAACACAAATTGACTTAAATGTTTATCAATCTTACAGTAATTTTGAAATCATGCATTGTATGTACTTTTATCTATATAATGTACCTACAAGCTTTGCCAAGAATAATCATGCACATTAATTATTGATTGTCACAACTGAATGCAATGGAAAGAAAAAAATAATATTTCAGTCTATTTCTTGGGAGAACTGACTTCATGTATTATTATAAAAAAGGGAAAAAAAATAATATCAAAGACATCTAATATCAGAATTGAAATTATTGAGTAGAAAGAGAACTAAAATATCCACTTCAGCAATCTTTCATTAGGCTCCTGCTATCTCCTGCACCCCACTCAAGATGCTTTTTCCTATAATCTGTCACATGTGTCAAGCAAAAGTAATTGAAGAAAAATTGATGTTAGCATGCCTCGCAGAAAGAGGAGCTTCTCCCAGATTTCAGCAGGGCACACTAACATCAATTCTTTTAAACAATTTTTTTAAATAATTTTTTAATCATGTGCCAGACTTTGCCTAAAGGGAGGGACTCAGCTTGTCATCTACTCTCACGATCTCTCAATTTTGCTGTGAAAAACATCAGAAAAGGGTAGAGGACAAAGAGAACAAAACACCTAATGTTCCCAAGGAGACTGTTGCGACTCTGATATAATATTGTGTATGAAAATGGAGGTCGATCACTCTTGTTAATAAAAATGTGGTGATACAGTGAGTGATGTATTGTGAAGCGGTGGACATTGAAATTCCATCATCATGCAATTTTGATTCCTGAGAGTCTAATCCATCTTATTTTCTTCCAGGTTGATCTATCAAGGGTTTAAGAGGCCTCTGGTCAATGATGATTTATGGGCATTAAGCAAAAGGAACAAGTCTGTGAACATTGTGCCTAAGTTTATGGAGAAGTGGGCCAAGGAAGAGAAGCGATGTGCAATGTATGTACATGTAGCTGAATCCTTGCTGAACATATTTAACAATTATTCCATGAGTGTAGGATGAATATCACATGGTAAATGGCCAATGACATGGTAAATGGCCAATGAGTCGATAATTGTTTAAATAGTGTTCAGCTTGGCAACAGTTAGCATGACGCATTTCCATATAAGGTGACTCGGAACATGAGCTGATAACTAGAGTTGAGCAAACCAACAGGACACTAGAAGCGCACCATTTGAAGTTGAAAATTTGATAATAAGAATGATTCACTGAAGTGAAGGTGAACAGTGGTGGATATTTACCAAGCCGCAAAGCAGCGATGTAAATATCCACCACGTCCACTGAGTTGAATAATTTATTTAGTATATACTATTCAAAACCAAAGACAACAATTTATTTTTGAAAATATACCAAAATTGTCAGAGATTAAACTCTTGACACACAAATTTGTCTCATCTGCTGCTTGGACATGAATAGTACTTGCTGATGGCTTCCAAACTAGCCAACCAGGGCATGTAAAAGATGCTATTCACATGTGTGATATATACTAATTAACATGAGTTATTATTAGATTCAGCAACAAATATTCGACACTTTCATTTCACTCACTGCCCATATAGAAATGTATCAGACCAAAGCTTTTATTGAATTTTGTTGTTTTCAATTTTGATTTTGTCAAATATAAATTATAATCATACCTCTAAGACATTTATTAACCTATGAAGACCATGTAGCATGTTGGAAATACTTTTTGTGACAGAACAATGTATACATGAAACTTTTCAGTGGGAAAAGATGTCCATTAGAAGAACAACAGGAGCAGGAGAAGGCTAAGTTGAATGAGGAAAATGATGAAACTAAAGTTGAGTTTGTTCCTAAGAATGATGAGGAGCAGTCAAAGGATAAGAAAACTGACAAAAAGAGACCTTCATTGATCAGAGCCATGGTTTATCAATTTGGACCTCAGTTTTTGATTGGAATGATTCTCAAACTTATCTATGATGTTATTCAGTTCATTCAACCACAACTTGTAAAGTGAGTATAATCTAGCAGTGTAATGTAGATATGTGAAAATTATAAGTGTAATCTATGTTTGCATGTGGGATAATTTGGTTTTATCAGCTGAGTTGAAATATAAATTAGCCACAGTAGGGAGTTTTTATGGCAGACCTTTCCAGCTGTTAAGGCCTTTGTTAAAGTAATAAATAACAAATTTAATACCAAAATTCATTATAAAAGTGAATGACAAAGGGCTAACACCAGCCTTAGAAACCCTGTACTGTTGCACATTTAAATTTAAACTGGGTTGATAAAACCAAACTATCCTCTAAATTATCCTCCCCACCAACACAGCACTATAGTTTCTATGGAAACTTACATCATTTTTGCTCATGTCTACTTTTAGCCATGCTCACAGTTGGCTGATTTACACCTTTTGGTTAAATATATTCTCTATGTGTTATTTCCCACTGGCTGAGTGACATGAGCTTACTGAAAACTATCTCTCTAAGAGAATGCTTGGTAGGACATGGGAATGAGCCTGAAGTGGCATTTGGAGGGAATTTTTATGTTTGTTTTGTTGTGTGTTTGTTTCTTTTGACATTGCTGTTGCTGTTGTTGTCGCATCCCCTTTCACTGACATTTTCTCAACCACCTGCTCTCCCTGACGATTTCCAGTTTTGATGAAAAGTTCTGTGCTAATCAACTGTTGGCCAACTAACAGCTACTGTTGGCCAACTGTTGATCAAGTCGGTGAACAGTCAACAAACTGTCGGCCCTCGCCAACATTAGTGGATGAATCCAGAGCATTTCTTTAATTTCTTACAACTTTCTGCTTTCATTTTACCAATGGCTTTCTGCATTGTCTACTTAACAAAGCGTCTGTTGAGTAACAGATCCTAGATGATGTCAATATGTAGTAAGAACAAAATAGTTGCATACGAGGCGCAGCCGAGTGTGTCACTAATTTCTTACCAATTTTCACGTCTTCTGTGATCTATTATAGTAGAGACCAACTGCAACCTAGAATCTTTTTGTTTTGTTTTGGTTTTTTCATGATAAAAAAGTAAAGGTTTTTAATGTTGAATGTGTCAATGCGTCTGTCCTCCTGTAGAACATAAGTAGGAATTAATCATGAAGCGTGTATAACTCAACTTATCATATAAATTAAGACCCAGAAAGGTGACTGTTAATGGGGTTTTATTTTGCTTTTCAGCTTATTGGTCTCTTATGTGGCAGATAAAACCATTCCTAGCAATGAAAAGTGGAAGGGTTACATTTATGCTTTTTCCATGTTCCTTGTGTCAGCTGTCATGTCTCTTATCATCCATCAGTATTGGCAAATTGTTTTTGTCCTCGGTATGAGGATACGAACTGCAATCATAGGAATGGTGTACGCAAAGGTAAATATGTTTAAAGAACCATTCAACTTGCTTGTTTCTAAGCTTAGCTTCGACATAGGTCGTCCTATGGCTCGTCCTTTTCTGGGTTTACTTTTCGAGTGTGGTTGGTCCAGTTGTGGCCTCAGTTCTTTATGTCAGCCTGAATATTTCGCCGCCTGGTTTTTTTCGGGGCGTACTCCTTGTTCAACGAGAACTGTTTAAGCAAAAATATATTTTTTGTAAAGTATGGGATAGCAAGGGTAGTGCAAAGGCGAGAGCTCTTTTCTCATGCGACTCGCACTGTGCAGGGGTTGGTATGAGGGGTGAGTGGATGTTTCTAGGCATTGAAGAAAAGCTAAAAAGAATGAAATGAAAAAAAAAAAAGGGAACGAAACGAGATAGAGGCTAACAAACAAACAAACAAAGTGAAGGTCTCCCTGCGACTTTGAGTAATGTGCGTCCATTCAAGCAATGAGATTCCAAGATGTACCTAAAAAATGCAAAAAAAAAAATTAGAGGAACAAAACGAGATGAACTGTAGCAAACAAACAAACAAACAAAATGTAAAAAAAGCAAAACAAAATTGAAAACAAAACAAAGTTAAAGACTATTGAAAGGGTATACTGACTTAGCATTTGGACTGAGCAAATCAAAAGCAAAACTTCAAGCTCGTCTTTTCTTAAAGTAGCAATTTGGCGAAATAAATCATCAAACCGTCTGCCATGGCAACCGAAGCGATCGTAATTTGGAGCGCTGAAATGTGTTTCTTGTTAATCCCCTGTTCATTTTTGTTATGTTTTGCTTGTTTTGTTTGTTTTGTTTGTTTTTATTTTTTTATATACGTAATTAGCACCGGTATGTCGATGCAAGCTGACCAAAACTTTTAAAAATCACCCAAGATTTAACAAAGATTAGTAAGGCTGCGTTCAACCCATTAATGTTTACGCGTGCATAATTATTCATGAAACGCTGTCACTTTTTTTTAAAAGGCACTAGCACTGAACAGCAAGGCACGAATGGAGTCTACTGCTGGTGAGATGGTAAATCTGATGTCGGTTGATGCCCAGCGCCTGATGGACCTAGTAACTTATTTGAATGTTCTGTGGTCGTCACCTCTTGTGATTGTGATAGCGATGTATTTTTTGTTTGACGTGATGGGCCCTTCCACTCTGGCGGGTGTAGGAGTGTTGATCCTGTTGGTGCCGTTTAATCTCGTTGTGACCAAGATCGCCCGAAAACTTCAGGTTTGAAGATTTTATTTGCCTTTTAATTTGTTGTCTTGTAGAGGTTTGACCTTGATTCTTACATTCGCAGGTCGAATAAAATTATTTTCGTTAAAAATTATGATCTGATGTTTACCGATAGAACCATTTGAGCGGATGGCAGCTGGTAGGAGAGGAGTCTTAGGGACTATATTTTCTCTGAAAATCTTCGTAATTTTGCACTGCTACTCGATTTTGCGGATTAATAATGGTAATAGGACTGAGTAGAGTCCTAGTCGCTTCGCGGTCGTTCAATTTTGTTAATCACTCGACGTATGATTACTGACCGAATTGGACGACACAAAGTTCTGTTAACTATAACTATGGTTATCACTAGCCCGATTTAAGCAGTAATAGGACAGTGTATGTGTCATGCTTGTAACAGGACAGTGTAATAGGACAGTTAAAGGGACAGTTAACACGTCATGCCTGTGCAAGTGGACAGAGCGCGTCATGTGCGTGCGTTGTTGGCTCGCATTTCGCCGAGTTAACAATTGGTTCGTTGCTCTTTGTGCGCTATTTGTACTCTCCTTCTTCTCTTTGTTCCTTAATTTCCTTTCGAACGTCTCCCTGTATAAAAGTAAGAGACCCCCTTTAATCACGCCTTCATTACGTGAAGTACTGTGATTTTTCGTAGGTGAAGCAAATGGAAGCCAAAGACTCGCGTATCAAGATCATTAATGAAATCATAGCTGGAGTCAAGGTAGAGTTCATGACTTCAATTTTGTCATTAGAATATTATCCATGTCGTGAAAAAGTTGGGTCAAACAGTTTCTATTTTCCATGTATCAGGGGAAGTCGCCAAAGCTCGCAAGGATTGTTGAGTTTTTTTTTTTTTACTCATTTTGCGTCACATTATTCGCGCTCGCTAATTAGCTTCTTCCCTATCGCATCCCTTCACACCGATTGGACGAGTGACGTCGCCTTGGTCAGTGGATACCATTCACAGGGTTTTCGTGGTTACCCGCTGTACCTTGACTAAATCTTTGCCCCACCCCCTCCACTTTTATCTATTCCGGCTGTAATGTAAACTCCAACTTGTCGTTTTGCTTGCATTGGAAGGTAGCTTGTCTGAAACTTTACCCATGGGGCAAAGGGACATGAAATTCTATAATTCCGGCAGGGTAATCTATTTGCCCCGCAAAAAAGATTGACCGCATACCCTACTGATTGATCTCACTCACGTGGCATGCATGTTTAAGACTGTAATCCTCTCTTGACGCTAACAACTGGGGAGGCAAGACTGAGTGAAGGCTTAATTTTCCTTTTCCCTTTTCAGGTTCTAAAGTTGTATGCCTGGGAAAAATCGTTCATGAGCAAAGTTTTCAACATTCGTAAGAAGGAGTTGAAACAACTAAAGAATGCTGCTTACTTGAATGCAACGTTTGCTTTCACCTTCACATGTGCTCCATTTATGGTTAGTTACATACATATTAGTTTGTTGATAAATGTCTTAAAGGAAAATGGTTTCAATTCCTTAATATTTAAAACAGTAGATCGTAATAAACAATGGTAGGTGGTGTGAGTAGTCCTGAAAGGAAGTGTTGTCGGTGGAAGTAATTGTCGAGGGATATCTTATCAGCAAAGAAACGAAAAAAGAGAACTTTACGTTTTTGTATTTTGCTTCGAGGCGAACTTGTTGGATTTTTCGGCGACCAAATTTTTATAGTTGGCGTTTTAAACAAAACTTTTCTGCTGCCTGTTGGTGCTCGCGTGAAAAGCGGTTGACTTCGGAGACTGAACACTTCTCTTAAGGAGTGCCCTAAGATGGAGTATCTCAATGTGCGTTTTTGCTTTACGAGAAAATATGTTTATTTGTTGAACAAAAATGCAAACTAATTAATACCCTCTACTTCTACTCCAGGTTGCTCTTGCGACATTCGCCATCTATGTCCTAACGGGAAACGAGTTGACAGCCAACAAGGCATTTGTTGCTCTGTCACTATTCAATATCCTAAGATATCCCATTACAATGTTCCCGAATGTCATTATCAGCACGATACAGGTGAGTAAGTGTCCGATATGACTCAATAAAAACCGCCAAGTTCCCAATTCAGTGACGCCATCAATAGGTATTATGTGAGTGTTTTATCAGAGAAGGCGGGCCAATGTGATGAGTTCGCGATCGTTCACTGAGCCTTAATGTTTGATTTGTGGTCTTCCAAGGGGACTTGGAAAGACTTTCGTCGATCTGCTCGACTATCTTCCTCCCTCGATCTTCCTCTGCTTTAAACATCCAGGTTTACAGGAGCAGTGCGGCCGAGTGGTAAAGGCGCGGGACTTGTAATATGGTGGTTGCGGGTTTTAACCATTTAACTCCCAAGATCTCATCAATAATTCTCCTTTTTTCTGCCATACAGTTCTTGTGATGTTAGTTTGTAGAATTTAGTATTGGATCAACTTATAATCCCCTAATTGATATTTGTCTTTATTCTCATCACTTATCTGGTTGATATTGCATTGATATTGTAAGGAGAAATTCTGTCTTGATCACTCACGGGAGTTAAAGGGTTAAGTCCTCCACCCTGCTACTTGGCTGCGCTTTCTATATTGCTAACTGGTCTGCCTCCTGCCAGTTGAGATTTTCAAACCCTATGTTTAATAATTTTTCGTTCGTTCGTCCGTCCGCCGTCTGTCCGTCCGTCTGTCCGTCCGTCTGTCTGCCCGTTTATTCGTTCATTTGTTTATTTATTCATTCATTCATTTATTTATGCATTCTCATTGGACTTGAAAAACCCCAATATGAGAACGGTCATTTAGGTAAAACATACATCAATTAAGTATACATTGACAAGTCGACAGCCAAACTTTTCACGAAAAAAATGCTAATTAAACGCTCGCTCGTTGAAGTACTTCCGCGCTTACAGGCTCTTATAACATATGCTTTGTTTTATAGAAGATTTTCCCTTGTTGCATTCGCGACTTTTTTTCCTTACAAGTGTTTTTTAACGTTTTTGATTTAATGATTAATATCTCTTGTTCTTCGTAGGGAAAGGTGTCTGTTGACAGGCTAACACACTTTCTAAATCTGGAAGAGCTGGATACAACCAACGTAGAAAAGACAATGCCTGAGCATAGTGAGTCGACTTTGATCGCAGTTAGGACTTTTCTCTCCTGCGTTTTATTTGGTTTGAGTGTATTCATATCTGGGATCAACATCACAACTTTCTATGTGAACAAAGAAAGGCATTTGTACCACGGCTTCCTAAAACAACGCCTCCATCTTAACATGTAGATTCTCGATACCTTTTAAAACTTTTCTCAATAGTTTTGTTGTGTGTTTTGATTTGTTTTTTGTTGTTGTTTTTTTTTTGCTTTGCTTTGCTTTGTGTTGTTTTGTTTCAATTGCTTGTTTTTCTAATAACAATGATTTATCTTTAGGAGTCACCTCTCTCTCTCTCTCTGAACTTTTCCACACAGGGCTTAAAATAAATTTTCACCAAATACAACCTTTTCCATTGTCTCTGCGTTATAGTCAGTTCACAAGCGATTCATGTCGAAGAAGGCAGTTTCGGTTGGGATAAAGAGGAAACTCCTTTCTTATCAAAGTAAGTAAACAAAATGAAGACAGATACTATCCGGGTGAAAAGTGACGCCATTCATTGCATAGTTATCAGTTTTTGCTGCGCAGCTGCAGCACGAAGGTCTGAAATACGAGCATTTCCAAAAGCATTTTGAGCAAAACCGTTCTCGGCGAGATGCTGAACTAACAGTATTACTTCCCAGCCAATAAACTGTGAAAAATATTTCCATATATATGTAGTTACATTTGACTCCTTAACTTTCTTTATTCCTCCTACCTAGCATCAATATCAATATTCCCAGTGGTTCACTCGTGGCTGTTGTTGGTCACGTGGGATGTGGTAAAACTACCTTGCTCTCCGCTCTTCTTGGTGAGACAGAAAAGTTATCCGGAAAAGTGTATGTCAAAGTGAGTATTTGAAATCTTGGATTTTTTTATTTGTTTGTTTTTTTTTTTTAATTTGTTTTGTTTGTTTTGTTTGCTTTTAATTTGTTTAGGACTGTTTGTTTGTTTGTATTTTTTTGGTTGCCTTTGTCATTGGTGTTGATTTCGTGTATGTTGTGTTCTTTCTCAACTCGGTGCACTGATCCTATTTTAGCATTCCGGGCGAATGCGTGAAAAACCTCCATTTTTCTCATGCAAAAATCGATGGGCAGTGGTAAAGCAAATACGTGTCTTAAAACGTGACGTTAGTCGAAAGAAAAAGAGCAACCAGCGATGCCCTTGCCAAGTATGGGAAATGTGGCTTAAAAGTTGAACACGGTCAGAAGGAAAAGAGCAACCAGCATTGTGCGTGCTTAGTATGGGAGCTCACTGACTCATCGCTAAACTACCTGTTCACTATGACAACGCAAGAATTAATAATAGTTTAATGCTGTGCTAATTTGTTTTCAGGGCTCTGTGGCATATGTTCCCCAGCAGGCCTGGATACAAAATGCAACACTGAGGGACAATATCCTTTTTGGACGAAGTTTTGATCCTAAACGCTACTGCAAGACCATCAGCACTTGTGCTCTGAGGACCGACCTGGATATTTTACCCGGGGGAGACATGACAGAGATTGGGGAAAAGGTACATTGCTTGCCTACAGCAGTCTTTTATGTTTTGCAGTTGTGCTGACTGTTTTGCCCAACTTTATGGAGTTAAGTGACGAGGGCCGCGCGGGCTAATGGACTAAAGGTCCGAGAATATAGCGAAATACGATGCATGAACCGACTTGCCGCAAAATTTATCACGCCTTATGCCGAAAGTAACCAGGCCTTGCTTGTTCGAAAGATGGACAGCACTATCCACTCGACAGATCTCCTTAGTTTTGTTGGCACTCATCCGCTTAATGGCTATTTTTCCGTTGGTTAGCTTCATCTGCCATTTGAGCAAAACGGAGCCAGACTTAGATACGGTGAATTGCTTATTCAAGTCACAGAATCTGCACCCACTCGTTACACGCTCTGCACGAGAGAACCTTTTTGCCACTGAAAATCGTGGAGTTTCATTACTTTCGGAAATTCACGCTCTATTTTTTCTAGGGTATAAATCTGAGTGGAGGGCAAAAACAACGTATAAGTCTTGCGCGTTCTGTGTACTTTGATGCTGATGTTTACTTGTTGGACGATCCACTCAGTGCTGTGGACTCACATGTTGGAAAACACATATTTGATAAAGTTATCGGACCAAGGGGAAAACTCAGAAAGAAGGTACAGTTCGAGAGCATTTCTAAAATTTTAACTGCTAGAGCTTTTCCAAATATCGACTCTGAATGTAAAAGTAAGGTAAAATTTTGCTTTCCTCAGACTCGCGTCTTTGTTACCCATGGGGTTGGCTTCCTTCCCCAAGTGGATCAGATCATTGTTTTGCAAGATGGAAGAATATCTGAGGTACCTTTTCTTAAGCTTTAAAGTAGACTTCAATTTTATTGTTTAATGTAGCAACGTAATGGTAAAGACTGAAGTTTGAATTGAAGACGCACTATGAATTACGAGGTTTGTTGTTAGAGTGTTTTTCTTTTTGTATGAAGTTTCAAAACGTCATCTGGCGAATATCTGAGGTACGTTTTCTTAGGCTTTAAAGCAGACTTCAATTTTAAAATTTCATGTAGCAACTTGACGGTAGACTGAAGTTTGAATTAAAAGTTCGCTATAGATTTCGAAGTTTGTGGTTGGCATGTATTTCTTTCCGTATGAAGCTTCGAAATGTCATCTCAATCGAGAAGGAACGTAAAATAAAACCTAATTATCTAACCTTTTGTTTATTCAAGTTGTGTACGTATGTAGGATTTTTGATACACTTTGTAACACTTGAAGTCGTACCTACGTTTGGAGGTACGGTGACGTTACAGCCAAATTTTTTTGGCTTGATGCCTCTCGTAAGTACGGATGGACTGACGCTCGGAGGTACGGTGACGTCAAAGCCAAATTACTTCTAAGGCTATGGTGTCCCATGGAAAGCAATACAGGCCCAGTGCAGAAAATTTCGCACATCAAGTGTTCTCTACCGATTCAGACAGATTCTCTTTTGATCAGGTTGGAACGTATTCAGAACTTCTTGCAAACGAGGGAGCCTTTTCTGAGTTTCTCAAGACATTCGCGGCGGAACAGAATGTGGAGGAGGATGGTAGGTAGTGGTCGATATCTTAAGGGTATGGGTGCAACGACCTTTCAGGATGTCTTTTAGGATATCTTTCTGGGTATGGGTGCAACGACTTTTTCATGAAGTAACGAGGCAGTTTCATTGTCAGTTAAGTCGGAAAGCAGCTTTTGGAGGTCAAGAGCTTAAATCCTAAATCTTATTTTTAAATCCTGACGTGACGAGTAGTATCATACAGAAGCCATCCACGAGAGACTGCTTGAAAATTGATTATGTGGTTGCCTGTAGAATTCTTTATAACTCCCTATAGTGGCAGAGACACAACCCAGAACGGAACCCACGATAAAAGAAGAAGCAGAAGGTGTAGATGAGATAGATGTCAGGTTTCAACGCTTAGATAGTCGTTTAGAGAGGCAGGATAGTCGACTGGAGCGAATGGACAGTCAAATGGAAGGCCCAGTTTTCCGGAGGAAGCGAGCAGATAGCGTGTCTGTTGTCACGGTTGACACGGCCGATTTGGATTGTACATTCACGAGACCCGATGAGGACGTAGAAGACAAGATTATCGAAGAAGAGAAATCCGCAACTGGACGGGTACGTTTCAAATTATTATTAGCTATTTTGTTTTTATTAACCGTGATCTACGACAGAAACGCACGATGCGCAATTAAAAAAAGAAGTCTCTGATTTCCAAACAACTGAGTTTCCCGAAGAATTTACAATGTTTACAATGAAGGTGACATGTTATCCGTTTACACCGCGAAGGATTGACCCAAAAAACAGATGCCATGTAGAAAACGCCAAAAAAGAGGAGGTGATAGAACTGTTTCGTCCTCCCTACTCTTTAGAGAAACAACAAGCAAAACGTGGCTGAAACAAAAGAAAACAGTTGAAAAAATAACAAAAACCAAAAGCGAACGTACAAACGTAGATGGTCGAACTATAGAAATAGTTTCTGTCTTAGAAAGCTACTTTTACTTCTCTCGATCTGCAGCTTTCTTTACCCAGTGAACAAGCTATATTATGAGGTATTAGAATAAGTTATAAATCTTTCATGATTGCAGGTCAAATTTGCAGTGTTCTGGGCCTACGCAAAGTCAGTCAAAGTCTACTTGGCATTCAGCATACTATTGTCTGTAGTCCTAGCAGAAGCTAGTTCAGTTTCTTCAGGAATTTGGCTCGCCCGCTGGAGTTCAAGCAATGTCACTTCAGACAAAGAGCGTGACATGTACCTGGGAGTTTATGGCGGTCTTGGCTTTTTACAAGCTGCCAGCACACTCATTTCATCCTTGTGCCTGGCTGTTGGATCGAAAATTGCGTCACGCAATCTGCATCATACTCTTCTTGAGAATGTCTTGCACTCCCCCATGTCATTTTTTGAGACCACTCCCCTGGGGAGGATCGTGAACCGCTTCTCTAAGGATATCAGCACAATCGATGATAAGGTTCCCATGACTCTGATTATGTTCTTGCGAACGTTCTGTGGCGTTCTGGGAACCATCGCTGCCATTAGCTTCGCGACTCCAATTTTTCTGGTCGTAATCCTGCCCCTTGGTTTTGTCTACTTTTTCATTCAGGTAAAAAGTTTTTAGTTGAAAGAATGAATTAACTCTACTTACGTAGCGCTTTTCAATTGAGTGTTGTAAAAACCAAAACTAAGGTAATCACTCATGCCGATCAAAAAAACGAAAATATGATTAGTTTTAGTTTTGCATTTGACTGGTTGAGATGAATGGTGCGCGTTTTCTGGACCAATCACAGAGCGAAATAAACTTTCATTTCTCAGTAGAAAATTTGTCTACGTCTGTAATTTGATATCACAAATCTTAAATGCCATAAACAAATAATAACGAAAAAAATGACAATAGGAACGAAATTACAATGATTTAAATTACCTAGTCACAATAACTGATATATGGATTGTTGCAAGAGTTAAGAGTGTCCCATATTTCTTTGGGGAAAATATCAAAACAGGAGAACTTTTCGTCGTACTAATGTAACAGAAATAACCTTCGGGAAGCCTGGAGGAGCTCCTTCGTAAAGGGTATTTATGAACTTCCGAGACAAAAGGGTATGATTGCAGACCTCACTTTGGTATTAAATAAGGCAGACATATTAATGAACATTTTTTAGTTGAATTCAGGTGAGGCTCTCAGGAATCGGAGCCTCAAATTAAGTTTTTCTTTTTTTTTGTGCTGATCGTGCTAACTTGTGTAATAATGATTAATATGTTTGGTGACGCGCATATAGATATGAATATTTCAGAAGTTAAACTTTGCTGTCCAAGGTCGATACCGTCACCTTAAAATTACGTTTAGCAATTTTAAGAGAGTTTTCACCTTACCATCTTCAGACTAGGGATTCGAAAAGACTTTTCACGCTTTAGTGGAAATCAGCCACTTTTGTAATTATATCTATAGCTTTGGTTTTCAATCCATAGCCGAGCTGAGTGTATAATCCAAATATTTAATGCAAGCAGTATTGGTCTTGACAATAACCATTTTCAACTCGGCCTCTAGAATTTGATCGATATTATGTCAAATAATTTGGGATACACATTTCTATACAACCTTTTTTGATATATGTTATCCTTTTACTTTACAGAGAGTATATGTGGCCACTTCACGACAGCTTAAGAGAATCGAGTCCGTGACTCGATCACCAATCTTCAATAACTTCTTTGAGTCGATCAACGGAGCTAGCACCATCCGAGCATTTGCCCAACAACAGCGCTTAATCCGGGAAAACTACCATAGAGTTGACGAAAATCATGTGGCTTACTTTCCGGGAACTACAGCCAATAGGTAGATTCTCTATTCCCCGTACGAGATCTTACGTATTTTTTTTCCCACTCGACACTATATCCGTTCATGAACGAGGAGTTTCTAAAGCTCATATTTCGAGCGTTAACCCTTCGTTCTACGCTCTGACAAAGGGCTAACGCTCGAAACGTCAGCCGTAGGAACTCTTTATGGTGTCCAATTTACATCATCAACTCAAAGTAATACTGTATGTTCATTCAGGTGGCTTGCCCTGCGTCTGGAGTTTCTCGGCAATCTGATCATCCTCTTTGCCGGGCTGTTTGCTGTAATTAGTCGTGACTCGATCGAAAGTGGCCTTGTGGGATTGTCCATCACCTATGCTTTGCAGGTTCGTTTTTTTTTTTTCTTTCTTCCTGTCTTTATTTTTGGCGTCTTCTTTTGAAACGCCACAGTGTTACTGGGAATCATCATAAAGTCGAATACGATCGAGAAACAACAAGCATAGTTGAGAACAAATACTGGGTGAGAATATTGATGGAGAATTTTAACGTGAGGTACGGCGATTTTGCTTTAGTTTTTCTCGTCGAAGAGACGTAAGAGGAGACTAAAGGAGGCCGGGTTTTGTTTCTTTTGCTTTTTTTTTGTCATCTTGTTTGTTTTGTTTCTTTCTGTTTTTGTTTTGTTTTTCATTTGTGGTTCGATTTTGTTTTATTTCTCGTTTGCGTTTTGATTTTGTTTTATTTTTTTATTTACGTTTTGGTTTTGTTTTGTTTTTTTCCTTTTGCGTTTTTATTTTGTTTTGTTTTGGTTTCATTTTATAACTTCTTTCTTGTTCTGTTTTTTTTTTTT